CTTAGATATCCATATTACTTACCCATCAGAGAACTTTTCTTCTAGTTCTTTGTATTGGTCATACAGAACATGCCTTCCGGGAACAACAGTGCTCTGGGTAAGAATATACCAATTATTTAAATTCCTTAGAGAAAATTTATACTATCGGTAAAATAGAGAAAGAAAATGGAATAGTAGCACAAATGATAATCAAACTGTAAATTTTTCACCTTTTACTTCCCATAAATTGCATAACCTTTTTCTACCTTTCAAGTGATTTTACAATTTAGTCTAGCTCGCAGTTTAAGATTCCACCAAACAACTAATCTACCACTGGCCATACAGTTACACTAATTTGGGTTGATAATATAGGTAAATTTATATTGGAAAATGGAAAGCAACCTACAGAAGAGTCTCAGTGAAAGAAGTTACTTATCAAAAAATTATTTCCTCACACCCCTTTTCTCCTTATGCACACCCATGTTTATTTTTGTCCCTTGACTCACCCTTAATCTATTCAATCCAAAGACCAGAAATATACAGGGTATGCAGGGGGTGACAATAGGTGCAAGGAAATTACTTCCCATATTATCAGTTTAAACTTTATTACATATAACTTCCACTGATTCTGGAGGAAAATTTGCGAGCCTTCAAAATCTATACAAAATTTATGCGGCAATCGAGAAAGAACGTGTGTCCTATCAAGGGTAGTGAATTCATTAAATATAAGAGAAGATAGAGGTGAAACAAACCTGCTTGCTAACTATTGCTCCAATCTGACTGCCTCGAGGACGGCTATGGAAGTATTGATCAGATTCCTCATCAGAAACTTTCTGCACAGACCCTTCTACTCTTACCTATAAACCAAAGATGATGTTATGAGACGATCTTCATACATGAAGATCATCAAAACAGAAGCCCCCATCCAGTTTTTCTGATGTCAGAAGCTAAAATATTTATTAGGAAGCCACCAAGTACAAACCAATGTACGGCCAAAAAAAAGTAGGTTAACCTAGGCACACAAGCACTATAGGCTAATTCTAAAAGCATTAGCCTCAAAGTGAAAAAAAAAAAAAAAATTTACCTGCCGATTAAGACTATCCCAGTAGAAAAGAAGAGATGCATGAGGATTTTCAGACAATTCATGTGCCTTTCGACTTTCATAGTTTGTGTACCTGTACAAATTAATACCATTGAATTGAGAATATTATAAGCATTTTCATTAATAACATCATATCTTCCTTGTTGATATGTGTACAGCCTCAATAATAACAGTCGGATACTAACCAGACAAAACCGTTCTTATCAAATCCTTTGAGCAATACCATTCGTGACGAGCTGTAGAAGAAACTAATTTATGTTGAGTAAACTATTAACAGGTTATAATACATGTATGAGAAAAATCATTTTAATATCCAAAAAGAAAAATGCAAAGAACGAAACTTAAGAACCTATGATGAAAGCAATAAAATAGCCATGTCCAACATGTAATAACATATGAAACATAAGTTACTGTTGATAAAAGATACATAGTAAGTTAGTAACAAAGGAAACAGATATCACATTTTTCCGTTCTTGGCAGCCGTTGACAATGCCATAGCATTTGGTTCCCTCAAACCAGCAGCCACTACATCGTCGAACCATTTGCGGAACTGTAAAATAATTAAAGGCTTACTGTAAAAAATGAGGGACACCTTTTCCAACTAAATTTGACATAATTGAAACCAGCTAGACTTGGACATTGAATCTGTACCTGATCAAAGGGGTCAGCCTCCACCTGTTCCTCAAGAAACTCAGGAGAAATATAGTTCTCTCTTAGAGCTGATATATCAACTTGTGGAGGCCTTCCAATACGGACACACATAGAAGTGCCTGGATATGGTGGAAGGCGAAGCTTATATTTATCGGCAATAGATGGTGGGACAAATCTACCACCCAGAAAATGGTGTGGACCAAAAAATTTCTTCGCACACAACTTTGGAGCAGTCAGAGAAACCTGGAAAGTAGCAAGTTTGCATCAACAGGATGGCTTATTGTATATAAAGAAATACACATGTACATATAAATAGATGTAAATTTAAAAAACCAATCACAAAGCGCAATTATTTGTAGCCAAGACTACATTGAGAGTTATTACAACATACCAACATGTCAGGCTTAATGCCTTCAACACCACCATCCCCTTCGACATGCCACCCAGATGGAATATCTATGGAAACAATGACAGACGACTTTTCGCAAGTTTGGTCATATTTATTTACACAAACAAGCTTTTGGATCAGGTTATCAAAAGGAGGCCTTGGGGAACCTGAAGTATTACAAAAGTATTGCAGTTAGATATATCATATAACCCAACGAAAAATAAACCACAATCATCAACAAGTTAAGAAACTCTAATCAGGATGATAATTATTAAGTGGTTTGATGTCAGGGTCCTGCACATATAAAAAGGAGAAAAGACTGATAAATCAATTGTTGGGTTAAGATTTTGTTGAAGGCCTATAACTTATCTGAGAAAATTGAGCAGTCAGATTTAATCCTAACATTTTCAGAAATTTTAATGGACCCCATCATGAATACCACAACTAACTTTTGCACTGAATTCTTATAAAGTTGTCATAATTGTGGCAACATGTGATTTGAACATGAATGAACTAAAGAAGTGGGAATTGACTATGACCAATAAATTCATAGAAAAGACCTAGTCTTTTCTTCTGTTTTGTTCTTGGTCGGAGAAAAGTACTTATGTTTGATTCCAATATAATGATCCAATAGCAACATAACTGAGATGCCATCAAGCTGAACGGCCATAGAATAGTATAGTTTATCCTACCGGATGAGGTCTGTTAAGTCTTCCTATCCAGTTGAGCAAATTTGATGTTGACACTTTATGAGAGAAATAACAACCCAGACATTCCTTTGACAGACAGCAGAGCAAAGTTATCTTAGGTGCCACTATTCATATGTTTAGAATGTTTAGGATGTAAATTATTTCCGACTTACCATGTCAGTTTCTTATACTTGGGACAACAATTGAAGGAGAATCAGAATGATTGTGTCAACAAATTTGTATTGGCATGCTTTCTAATTACAGAAAAATCGATTTGCCCAGAACGAAATAAGTAATAATTACCATGGAATGAGAAACCAAACATTGCATCTACAATAATGTCAAAGTCCTTTGACAAGTCCAATGGCAGATCTTCCACTGAGATGAAAGGGACTGAGAGTGATTCCAGCTGCAAAATTATGCCATCATATAAGAACATCTTCCAAAATAATGATTATGAGACAAATCCAACAGCCCCCATATATATGTATGTATAATATAACCCCGCATTCAAGAGTTTTCAACTTTAAGTTGTATTCCATACTTGTGTAACAAGACCAGCATAAAGAGGCTTGGCAGTACGCCTTGGATAACAAACAGACGGCTTATATCCAAAGTGATGCAGGTGACGAGCAGCCACAAGACCATCACCACCGTTGTTTCCAGGGCCACAAATTGCGAGGACACGGTTATACTCACTCGGTTTATAGACCTGTCAAATAAAATATATAGAAACAAATATAAACCATCATGTAACCCGACTGCAGTTCCTCAGCACTCCACTAAATGAACATTTTTAACACCTAGAAGCATCACGAAATAGTCAATGAAATAAAAAAAAACAAGTGGGATACTTATATCCGAAAAAAAATGAGTTCAATTCAATTGGTAGTACATGTGCATGATCATCGTCAAGAACAGCAACAATCAAAAAATTGTAATAAACAAGAAGACAAGTGGGATGCGAATATCCGAAACCCGAAAACAATTAGTTCATTCAATTGGTCACACAATACATAGCAAACTGTAAAGAAAGAGAAAAGCATTTACCTCTGCAATGGAAGTGGCGACGCTCAAACCAGCCAATTCCTACAAAATTGAACAAAAACCCAGAAATGAGATCGTCAACAATTCACTATTAACCGAACCCATCGTACAAAAATTACGAAAAAAAAAAGGAAAAAGAAGAGTGGCTGACCATTAACTGGTCGACGCTGAAGCCGAGAGGACCCATGAGAACCTCATCGATCTCAGCAGCTTCACGCTGCGTCAGGTACGATATATCCTCCGGATTCTGCATGCTGGGTGCTGCGATTACTGACCCAACTCCCGCTGCACCGCTGGGGTTCGAACAAAACGCACGAATTGCAGGGCTCCGAACTGGTTGAAGAAATGCCTGGAAATTTAACGATACAACATATAAATTCACTGAATTTCTGGTTGGAGAGAGACAGAGAGAGTTAGAAGCTTACAGAGGTAGAGAGACTGGAGGGAGGGATGTGGAAAGAGGTGTAAGCGTTGGAAATGGTGGGTTTGGGAATGGGATTAGAAGAGAGTGATTGGGTCAGGATGAGGAGACGTGTCATTTTTCTGGTTTTTCGTGCCAATGACCACATTGGTCTGCGACTGCGAGCAGAGCTTGCTTTCTTTGCATCACAGATTCGCCTCTTCTTCTTCTTCTTCTTCTTCTTCGAGTTGTGTGTGAGGTTGTGACGATTGGCAAAGATCGGGTAGCAGGCAAAGTTCACATTAGTGTCAACCGAACGTGACACAGTGAAGAACTACTGTCGCTAATGATACACTTCCAGTAAAAAAAAAAACACTAGATAAACTATGTGCCAAGCATTTATCAGACTAGTAGTGCATTTTTTAGAGACGGGCCGAATGTCCTTTTTCAACAGCACCAATATCATCATCAACTTGTCAATCATCAGATGCACAATACTTCAGGTATGAAGTTTTATCATAAAATGTCTCACTGTTCGTTAAAGTGGAATTAGGATATTTAAACTATTACTTATCTTTTTATTACAACCGATGTGAGATTCAACATGTGGTACATCCACAACTTCCGAGGTTTAGTGTTTGTGAGCATAAAATTTTCAGGTTGGTTGGATTTCGGTCATCCGTCGCTAAAGAATTGTGTCATATTGCTGGTAAGTTTGTAATTAAAATTGTAGTGTATCAGCGATTGTAGCCTCAATTGAGTTCTGTATGAATATTGAGTTCAAACTTAATTATAGAGACAAAACATAATACAATTCTCTACTAATTTTTCTTGTTAAAAACATTTGACACAATTTAGAAACTAAATTGGCTTTTAAATCGCGCCAATATTATAATATCAACAAAAATAAATACGACGTCGTTTAAATTGAACACGTATCCGCTAGTGTTGGTCTTTCTCTGCCAATATCTTCTGAATCTTGTCAATGAAGCTCATCATCGTCTCTAAACCCTTTTCGTCAAGTCTCGGAACAGTGTGGCCTTTCGGATGATGAATCACCGAAGCATCTGCACAGTGTTCCAACAGTTCAAGCCCGTACGGCTTCAAGAAGTCCATCTCTCCTGCAACACATACATAACACACTGGTAAATAATCAAGTCCAATGCATAACATGCCTAATTGGGATATGAATTTAAAGTCACTCCAACACCAACGATTCTGAACTGCTAACTGAAATGAGTCGTGAAATATGTAATCCACGAACGAACATCTCAAGGCCGTAGATGATTCTACATATTAAGAAGGTTTAACAATGCGGAACTCTCGACTGGAAGGTAGACCGTCAACACTAATAGATGATTTTGTATCGTTGATTAGAACAAGTCATTGTCCTCCTATGTAGAACCAATTAAGCAAAGATCTACTCCTTTTGCAGTTTGACTAAACAATGGAAACGGAAAATGCGACCAACCAAATGCTTAAATCCATTTAATAACAATACAAATTTGACCAGGATTGCAATAATATGGCTTGCAGTTTGCAGCTTGCAGATTGCGCATGCTAATTGTTAGGTGAGGAAATACGCGTAACACTAAGTCAACAACCGAGCTCTAAATTATCAGAATTATGACATGTAAGAATTGACAATCACCCACACTTGAACGACTGTTAATCGTTAATTGAAGTGAGTCCTATAACATATAAGAATTGACAAATGAATATAGTTCCAACTCCAAATCCACACACCTACCCGGTTCTATATGATTAAGAACTCAGTTGGTGACTTGGTGTGGGTGTGACGAAATCATAATAGAATGACTAATTGATGTTTAACGTTCAAAATCAGGGACCACATTTATTGATTTTCGTTGTTAGGGACCAAAATAAGACGTTAGGTCAATTTCAGGAACCATTTTGACTAAAAAACCTATACTTAATGTCCTACAATATAAAACTCGTTGAACCAAAAGACTTGAACAACTTTGAATCGTCGATTGATTGTGCACCTAACAAAGTTATTTTGTGCATTTGGAAATTGACCAAAGAAGGGAAACGAAAAATACCTAAAAAGTGAAGGGAGGGGCACTGAATGGAAGAGGAATAAGCATCGTCAGCCACTGCCTGTGACTTGAATTTTGCTCCTCCAATTATTATCAAGAATTTAATTTTGGGAACTTTGGTCAATGCCACACCCTGCAAGCAAACCGAAACGACCGCACTTCAATTCCATCGTCACCTTTCATTTCATTAAATTAAATTATACTAAACACTTGAAATATCTGCTCTTTTCTCTGTACCTTCGCTTGCAGCCCCGGCAGCCCCGCCGATATTATTGCTCCCTGTATTCATCAAAACCATATTAAAAGATAAAAGAAATTATAATTGCTTATAGATCAGGTGGTTAAAAATATTCTGTAGTAAATTATTGTAAATTATAAGCGACTTATAACTCAAACAGCTAAAAACGTTTTGCTTTTGATTAAAACACGAAAAAATGTTATATTTACTCACAAAGAACGAGAATGCAGAACGTTAGTTATGCTACGTGTTACTAACACATAAGGAACAAAAAGTAAAGCAAACCTCCATTTCATGGGATTTCCGAAACGAAAATGACATCTCAGATTTCACTACAATAGTTACAAATTTTTGTGACCGTTCAGAGGATTAAAGTGGTAAGGTGAAATAAATACCTGGGAAAAACCAACAAGGCCATCGAACGGTCCCTGTTTAATCATGTAATCCTCTATGTATTCCAGACACTTATCAAAGTTTGTGTACTCTGTAAATTCCTGTGGAAAAAAAAAATACAGTCCACAAAAAAGTAAAAAAAAAAAAACCCAAAAAGCAAGAACAAGAATCTGGGATTTGGTTTTGTTTTTGTTTTTGTTTTTGTTTTTTTACCTTGTTGAATTGGAACCACTCGTAATAAGGAGGATCGAAAATGCCTTCAACTTCGGATTTACCTTGGGCCGGAAAGGGCGCATCGAGATAAACCATGTCGAAATTCTCCAGCACCGATTCCGGCCACTTTCCCACTTGTTTCCTCATGATTTCTCCGTTCGTTCGGAACCCATGGAGGCACAGAAACCTGGGTTTCCTCGAACACCCGCCGCCGCCTCCTTCGCTTCCTTGGCTTCCCATGTTCTCTTTTTCTCCTGTTTTTCGGAGATAATAAGGAGAATAAGAATATTCCGATCGGTCGACGAGGTTGTTCTTCTTCTTCTCGGGAGCTCCGGTAGTGTGGGAGGAGCGATGGAACGCGTGTGGAATTTGGTTGGATTTAACAGGTCCAGGTTTGAGGGCGAGTTTGGCCTTGACGACGTCGTGTGGGGCTCTCCCTCGTTCAATGTGAATAACGGTGTTTGAGGCGAGGGATGACGTCATCGTCAGGGAAATTTGAGAACGCAAGCTTTGACCCCGCGTGTGTTCTTCTCTCCATGTGCGCGCCATTGAAAAAATGGATCGATTTAAATTATAAATTGGTCCTTAACATTTGGTTGGATTTCTATTAAAGTACCCATTTAATAAAATTTATTTTTACAATTTGACCCCTATAGTTGTCCAATGTTGGCAATCCCGTCAAATGATCCATCGAGGAAGAACACTGCATGTGCTTATGAAAGATTGTGCTACTCTCCATATTGCCAATTAATTTTATGGTGGAACCTCAACTTTCTTCATGATATCAAAGCAAGTTATCCCATGCGTGAAACTTAAGGATCACACGTGATTCATGTCATCCAATTTATGTTGTTCACGTGATAGGCTTGAAAATGAATCTCATATCTGGGAAAGAAAGGATCTTGCATGTGCTTATACGAGATTGGCCACTTTTCATTTAGCCAATTAATTTTATGGTGAAATCTCAACTTTCTTCAACATTATATTCTTGGAACACCAAACAACCCTAGACAATGACAAAATATTAGAGCTCGTCTTCCAATTTGGAACACCAAACAACCCTTTGAGGTTAGGGTTGGGACTTGAAGTGTGCAAGTTTATAATGCATGACAGCCTCTGCCTGTATTAGTTTTTATTTATAAGGGTTGAAAGCTTTCTATATTCCACATAGAATAAAAAGAGTTCTTTCTTTTTGACAAAAAAAAAAAAAAAAAAAAAAAGAGCACTTTCTGAATTTTTGGCTATAACGTTCAAGTTATGTAAATAAAAAATAATAAAAAAAGAAAAATTAATGAAAAGAGTTTGAAAATTTTGAGTTTTAACGATAAGGACAAAATAAAGGGTAAAGTGAATATTACCAGGATTGACTTTTTAGTGTAAAAATATGATTTTTCGTTAAAGTGAAGAGTACTGCGGGTTTTTCGTTAAAACTCCCAATAAAAAAAAGGTGAGCTTAGTGGGATTAATCCTTTTAAATTTGATAGAGTAAATGATTCCATGTGGTTTGAAGAACCCCAACATCCAAAACACTAGTTTCATTTAACATTAGTAAAAGCAAGCAACAACGAGGTATTGAGAAAAATAAAAAAGGTTTCAACCGATTATGCCGCTGCACGCCTCCTCCATGGATATACCAAAATTTTAGTTAGGCTAAAACTGCTCCAGGAATGAACCTTTAAACAAATCTCCTGCAGTCAATAACTTCCAACCTCTCCAAACGATGAAAGGGTTCCCAGAATATCCTCACAAGCGTTTTTTCCAAACTCCGGAAGGTCCTGAGACCACCCAAGTTCCTGTCTACATCTGCTTACGTCTACAAAGATGACTCTAAAAGAGATGGACCACAAAGATGGCTCTGAAAGAGAGACCACAAAGACGCCATGCTTGTTTGCCTCCAAAATCTGGACAAGAAAATGCACCGTGTTGGCTCCACAAGTTGGACCAAAAAAGGTTCCAAGTTGGCTTCAAAATAGCCATCTAGCAAACCACGGTCGGTCAACAAGGTCGTGTCAGTCTCAGCCGTATTAGCCCAAACACTAGGTTTAGAACCACAACAATCGATATTGGGGAATTCACATGTTAAATCTTTACAAACCTTGTTCATGTCTTTGCCACGATATGTAGTGTATTTTAAGGTCCTTTTAATCTGTTATGGTCTATTTGTAGACTATTGTTTCAGTTAAGGTTTTTTAGCCAAACGATCAAATTGGTAATTCTTCATTTTGGTTCCTGAGTTTGAAATTGATAAGTGGTCTCTAAGTTTGTCCATCATCAACTATGATTTGACAAAAGTTTAACGTATTTTTTGTTATTTTATCCTTATTTAATGGAGATTTTCATGAATGATCAAAATGATTAAAGGATAACAAACTCAGAGACCACTCCTATTAATTTCAAAATTTAAGGATTAAAGTAAATAATTATGCCAATTTCATGAATTATTTGAACTTCAAAGCCACCAATTAATTATTTAAATCACATGTCACGTTGTGATTTGTAGACATGCGTAAGCAGCAAAACACTATTCAATTCGAAAGGATTTGGATCCTCTCTTGAGCAGATAACATGGACTATTAGATTTTGATTCAACATCTACAATTATTATAACTTTTAAAAGAATTCTCTATTTGTAACCGTTGGATCAAAATCAAACGATCCTTGTTATCTGGTCAAGAGGATTCGGACCATTTGGAGAGGATCCAAATCCTATTCAAAATGCTATTACCAATATAAAAAAAAAAAATGGAAACACCCAAATGGTTTCGAGACTCGTTCCTCGAAATAGCAGCTTCTATACTTGGTCCGACGCGAGGTTGCCGATTTTTCCATTTCTCTGGCTCCTCCTTTTCTCTCCAACTTGTCCAGGAACCTCTTTGCTGTCATCATTCGCCGCCGGCGTGTCTAATCGCCGACGAAGGTACTGCCATTCGCCTCTTTTATTTCGTTTCTTCTGTAAATTATGTTATTTTTCTTTCTCCATCAGATTCCTTTGCCAGTTTCCCAATTTGAATTTCATTTGTGATTAGTTACAAATTATGTTGCAATTTCGGTGGTAATTTTGGTTAGGAATTGTTTTTTGGGGGCGGGGGGGGGGAGATTTGATTGAAACAGAGCTCTAGTTTTTTGGGGGTTTTGATCAGCCTTTGTTTGGGTAATAAGTCTGATTAGGGTTTCCGATGGGAGATTTGGTTGTGGAGGTATTGGGTTCAGTCATCCAAATTGGGGGTTTTCTGGTTCAGTCAAATTATCATTATGTTATATAGGAAATTATGTGACTTCCCTGTTAACCTAATGGTTTTGTTATTGGGTAATTTAAATTGGTACCCTGTTTAAAGATTAATTCTAATGATGGAATTTAGGTGCAAACTCCGGGCTGGATTCCGGTTGACCTGGACCTTGTGATCTATGCACATCATGGTTTTTATGTACACTTAAATACTTCTTGAATTTTATCTACAATTTTGTAGTTGAAGCTTCATTGTTCATGATATTATCAGAGAGATTTTGGGGAAATTCTTTTTTTGGCGTATTATAAATCTCTTAAAGATGAAAGTAACATGTATTTTGAGGCAGTCCATCTTCCTAAAATTATGGTTTATAACAAAAATCCTTGTGTGTCAGATATTGAAGACTCAAAATCTAACAGTGGGCAATCATCAAGAAAACATATTTACCCATTGAATTTGAAATAAAAGACGATTGCTTACTCGAGCTCACCAAACACAAACTCTAGGGTTTCTAATGGCAGGCTATGGAAATGCTGCCCCCTACAGATCAAGGTATTAATTTCACACAGGTTTTCTATTTTTTCTGAATTTGTTCAGTGTAAATGTATTAATGATGATTCTTCAGGGAGGGTCTTAACCCAAGACCAGCGGCTAACATGGACGAAATCCAATTGAGGATTGATCCAATGCATGCTGACTTGGATGAAGACATCAACGGCCTCCACAACCAAGTGAGAAGATTGAGAAATGTACGCACTCCAAATTTCTTTTTACTTTTGAGTATTTTGTTTGGGCATTTGAATTCATGTTGGTACACCTTGGTAATGTTAATATATATTGGTTTGGTCCCGTCATTGTTATATATTGGCATTCCTGCTATGTGGAACAGATTCATGTATCTTTCCTAATGGTCCAGGACAGGTCTGAATTTAAATACTTGCACTTAACCTTTTACCACGGTTTGGCTCTTACTTTCAGTCTTTGTTGCTATTAGCTGAAGGATGTAATGTTGGGCCATATGTTTCTCATTTGGATTTTTAGTCGTAATTATTCACTTGCATTGCACCTGTTATCATGGTCATAAATTAATTGGTGCTTGCTGAATGATAGCTATGATATGGTAGATCCAATGACCTGGTTATTGATTTTTTTACTTATTTGGAATCAATGTTTTAAAAAACTAGCCTTGGGGCGTGCCTAGGGCGCCTTTGAGGCTGGGCGCTAAGGCTAATGCCTCTGTTTTACTGGAGTGGGCGAAAGGCTTCGCCAGAGACGCCGAGGCGGTGGAGGCGCGTCTCAAGGCGTCCCAGGCGCCTTGTCTGCCCTTTTTTTTAAAAAAGAAAAAAAACCACCCCAATCCAAAATGACGCCGTTTGGGTAAGGGTTTTTAGTCTAGATTCCACTTTTAATCCACATTCCACCATACCTTCGATCGTCTGCCTTCTTCACCCACTTCTCCCGTGTGCCAGAACACACAGCCACTGTCACCCCAGTCGATCGTCCTTTCCCAGTCGCCACGCCGCCGTCATCACCCTGCCACCGTCAGCAAGCCCACAAATCCCCAATTTTGAAGGTTAAGGTTTCTGAAATTCTGAAAAAGTTAGGGATTTGATTTTTTGATTTTTTTTTTTTTTTATTTTTTTAACTGGTGTGAACTGTGGAGCATTCTGGGATAGGGCTGGGTGCGATATAAATCTGGAGCAGTGGACTGGGGAAGCTTTTCTGGAGTAGGAAATAAATCTGGGCGATAAACTTTTCTGGGGAAAGCAGAAAAACAGAGAGGAGGGAGGAGGCTAAAGGCTCAAGGGGATGGGAGAAGGATACCTATTTAATGTGGGTTTGATATTGGAATGTGGGACCCGAGTCGGGACTTGTTTGGAAAGTTGTCTAATGAGGGAGAGGAGATGAAACTGACAAATGAGGTTGCCTATTTAATGGAAAATGGGATATAGGTCTTTTCGTTTCAGAATTATAGTAAGGTTTCCAATTTTAAATTTGGATGATATTACCTTTGAATGATGAATTTAGATGATATTATCTTTTGAATGACTATGGATTTGAATGATAAAATTGAGAATGGATGTTTATTTTACATAGTATTATTTTTTATACACTTATATGTATAATATATAAAACATATATATATAAAAAATTTAATCCTATAAGGCTTCACCTCACGCCTCACCCTCACGCCTAGGCCGGGCTTCGCCTCCGACGCCTCGTCCACGCCTCACGCTTTTAATACATTGCTTATTACATAATTCCTCTACTCTGAGGAGGGCTTCAGTGCAGTGCATTCCTTTTCTCAATCTGGAATCTGGTCTATGGTTTCAGCGACCGGTGTTAGATTTGTGACAGCCTTAAAATTATTATAGAAGTATTTAAGGAACCTTGTTAAAGTATCTATTGTGTATAGTATTGTGTCCTCTTTTTTGATTTTGAGAGGATGGTTTTCATGCGGGGTGGGCTTGTAATCTACTTCTTTGCTTGGTTATAGATATCTAATTTAGTGGTTGAAGCCTGTTCAATATCGGCATCTGATTAAACTAAATGAGTTTTGCATAAATTCGAATGCCTTCATGTTTGGCCTCTGTACATTTGTTTGTTTCATAATTCATCTTATAGCCTAATTGTGGTGCATCATGACTTGTAAAATTGATTTCAGCAGTTCGATTGCAATAGAAATCTACGTAGAATAAAGAAATGTTCTCTTATCTTGGCGCAGGTAGCTCAAGTTATTGGTACGGAAGCTAAATTCCAGAATGAATTTCTGGATCAGCTGGTATGCCATCATACTCTAGACATTGTTGCTTGCATATTTCACTTTATTTTGAATTGCAGGGGGATGATGGATAAGATGGATTACTACTACAATCTACACTGGTTATACATCATACACTGCTTAAAGTGCTACATGATTCTTCAAATTAAAAAAGATGGCCGAGGAAAATGCAAAGTCACACCAACTAAAAATTTAAAAGAGAAAAACCCTTTTTCCCCCATACAAGACCCTATCCATACCTTTGAAAATCTATAGTTAGAGGATGGATAGAAAATTTCTGAATAATAACGAAATCTAATGGCAGTATGATGGGTGGTACGTGCACAGCTTTCTGAAACATATCTTTGTCTCTTTTGTTACAGCATATGACGTTGTTGAAAGGTCAAGCAGGGTTGAAGAACAATGTCAGGAGATTGAACAGAAGCATCGTCCGGAGTGGATCAAACCATGTTGTCCACGTAGTGGCTTTTGGACTACTTTGTTTCTTTGTGGTATACTTTTGGTCCAAACTGTTCAGATGAAGATCAGATACTTCGGATACTTCATGCCTTACAGACATCTGTGTTTTAAGGCTAAAAGAGGTTTCATCGACAACACAAATACTTGTTTCATTGTAAAGCTATCGTCGTGTTCATGTTCACTAAACAAGTTGAACATCTTAACAATCTTGGTTCGAGTTTCTCAAAGGATTGTGCTTAGAGCGTCATTGTGCAACAACCCCACTAATCATGTAAGCAGTATGTGGCATTTGTTTTTTATCTTGGTCTCTCTATACCATATTCAATTTTTGTGTGGAGAATGAAACGATGCGATTCTTCTCGTCAAAAGTTTGTTACAGATTATATGGTTACAAAATAGTGAAATCTTTCGGCTTGTTTGTTGGTAAATATTTGTCTGATTCAGCCAGCTAGCATTGGCAAACATTTGAATTTCTCTGCGGACTCTCAATGTCTTGTTTTAGCTTGCTTGTTCGTACTTGTTCGAGGACATTTCTTGCCCAGTCTGCAAAGAAGGTTTCATTGTGACCGACTTTCCCATCTTTGTAAAACAGAAAGCATTCCAGTTCTTTTTTAGGGTCCGGGCATTCTTTTTCGGCATAGGGATCCCACCAAGCACCCCGGTACTTCATACCGGACAGGTCGGCCATCCAGTGATGAGCATACTGACCTACCCCTGCAAGCTCCAGCCATCCTTTGGGGAAGAACTCCATTACGCTACTGTTTCTATCCATGAAGAGCATGTTTGTTAGCTGCGCTCCATGTGGGGATGCAAGGATATCGGTGTTTGTCATCAGTCTAACCTGTTCAAGAACACCAAGTTTGGTACGTTAAGCCACAAAGTTTGACTAGGAAGTGCGTGGAATTGGAAATGGGCGAATGTCGCTCTCTTAACATGTCATGCACTTACACGACTGGTTGACGCTAACACTCTTCTAACTTGAAATATAGAATTCTCACTTATAACAGTATATGTAATTACAACACGTAATCTTAGTCAAACCTAATCTTGAAATAGCTGTCATCTATCCCATCTAAGTTCACCTAATTCTTGCCAACGAAACACGTTTAACCCTAGAACTTCGGCTCTTCAGAATAAAGAAAAGAAAAAAAGAAAAAAAAGGAAGCAAACCTGATCACAGAAGTTTAGATCTTCAGACTGAACCACCTCTAATGTGCACCCATCCACCATTGCACACTCCCTTGAGAACACATTAATCACAGCCGTCGGATTCTTGAACGATCTTGATCCATTCCTCATTAGCAAGGTCAACGTTATGCTTGGCTCCCCTCTCAGATTGACCTCTCTGCCTCTGCCATTAGGGTTAATGCCACAATACTGTCTTGCTTTACATCTCAACAAGTCAGACACTTGAAGCTTCTTCTGCTTCCCCATTTTCCCAACATTATGCCTCATCACAACCGCCTTCTCGAAGCAATAAGGTCCTTCTCCTTTCTTGAATTCTTCAACCGGAACTTGCCCGAAATTCGCTTGCATCACGTTCTGAATCCACAGCCCCATGTTCTCTCTAACTCTAAGCTCTCCCCAATGGAAAAGCACCAACCTTGCCGGCTTTGCGCATCCGTTTTTCATAGACCAACCGACAAAAGGCATCATGGCCATTAACCCGTGCCACAAGTTTCCGTAGTCATAGAATGTGTCGGACACGAACGCGAGACCCTTCAAGAATGTGGTGGAGTTTGGTAGGCCTTCAGGATATGCCAAGGCATATGAGTTTCTAGTGCCGTCGCTTATGTCATTCCCTTTGATGCACAATAGCCTTCCGTTGGACGCCTCCGAAGGGAAATAAAGGTATTCGGATTCATTTTCTTCATATGTGTCGCTCAAGGAACTCATAAACCAAGTGTTTCCCTTCATTGCAGTGTTGGCAAACCTTGTGTCTTTGAGAGGAAGAAATTTAACCGAGTTTCGGAGTTTCAAGGCGGGTGAGAAGGAAGGAGAGGGTTGTGCAAGATATAGGATAAGAATCAGAAAGAGTGAAGAGATGCAAATGGCGATGAGAACGGTTGAGTGAGAAACGCTCTTCTTTTTGTTTAATAGCTTGGGCTTGCTTTCCACTTCCATGGTTTCTTTTCTTGTGTTCAAAGCGAATGACCAGAAAGGGGCACATTTAGAGGAGTTAAATAACAATTGGATCTAGAGATTGAGATTTTGGTGTTGATTTATATTTAAATAGAAAGACAAGCAACAAATGATTACCATTATATTATTTGGGGCCAATGGTGGAGATGCATACAATCATGTGGTTGTACTTAATGGTTGAGTCAAAGAACTGCCCGAAACTTCTTGTGAGTTGATAAATTGTCTCAGGCTTAACATGGTCAACCACTAACATCAATTAGATCGTTGAAATTGTTCCAACTTATATTAGTTGGGTTTTATCACAAAAGGTTTTGATGATGTTAGTGGTAGAATTGCCTGTGTATTAATTATATATTTTGACATATGGCTGATGTGGGATCCTATTCTCCAACACGCTCCTCATGAGTGACCTCACATAGGATTATAAGGGAAACGGATTCCCACACAGGGAATTGGTCAAGTTATTATATCGAATCTAACACCAATCTTTTTGAGAGCTTAGTCTGTCAGTATTTTCAATCACTAGAGCCAACGCTAATATTTTCGAAAGCCTCATTCAATACCTTAAGTTGGAGCTAGCATATCTTTATGAAAACCCAACTTAAGGAAGCAGATTCAAGCTAAATAAGTCGGGCCAGAACATGTTGAGAGAATAACCTACTATAATATCATGATAAACTTTTTTAGGCCCATCATGGTACATCACCAACATCACTGATATTGTCTTATTTGATTAACTATTACTAGGTGTTGGATTTTATCACCAAATGTCTTGGTGATATTAGGGGTGGAATCTCCCATATATTAACTGTATATTATTTTATCCTCCAATAGTGAGTCTATAAATGAAGATTTCAAAGCAATAGTTATGACCTATAAAATGCTTACCCACCTTGATGTTTCTAGTTTATTGACTGAAAAAAGCTCAAAGGCACCCATAAAAAAATCTCTCTCTCCTTTCTCTATCCTAAAGCTCTATCTTAACAAAACCCTAGCCGGCTACCTCCATCATCGTCGGCCTCTAGCTATGGCTGGTTCCCAATGGCAGCTTCTCCCTTTCTCCTCATAGCCTTTCCTCCCTTCGTATTTTCCCTTCTTCGCTATCTTAACCTTTTTTCCTCTCGCCATACATAACTTTCTTCCCTCTTAGCCTCACGCCGACCACTTATTCCCGGCTTTTACCTACCTCATCTCCCCTCTCGTGCTTCTCTTCCACCATTTTGTGAGCAGCTTCCATGAATTTATGCCTTATACCCTGATCCGGGCCATGCCCTTTCAAGATTTTTTTGATTTGGAGCTCGTTTATCTTGGTGTGGGGTTGGATTCATGCTGCAGGTGGGTTGAATCCACCTTCGCCAACTCGTTCCTATGGTGGTGCCACCTTTCTCACCTGGTTCTTGTGGCGGCTGCATTGACATATACACTTAGATCTGGCAACTCGGCTTGTATGTCTCAGACCTGGCGGCTTCGCTGCCTATTGTAGCTAGCTTTTATGGTGTTTAATGTGGATGCCAGTACCTCATTGTCCAATGAACAATTAGGTGGCCTTGGCCTAAGTGCCTCATCCCCTATTATGAAGAGTTGACAAACGAATCCCTTATTGGAGTAGTGTAGTTATGTTTCACTAGCCTTACGTGCACCGTGGTGGCGTTGTTGTTTTAGCTGGATTGGTCTTCGCCTTTGTGCAATGCGTTATGTAGTCTCATCTATCAACGATGACTTGATGTGGTCTCATTCTATATGTGGCCTCACTATTCAGCGATGACCATTGTGGTTGCCCATATTTCTCTGTTGCATCTATCGTTTATTGTGACAAATCTGTACTGGTGGCACTTGTGCGCTTGGCGATTATGTGTTTGTGCTTGTGGTAGTTTACTAGGGATTTACTCTTATTTGTCTGTTTGTGCAAATTCACTCCAGATCAATTTATTAGTCAATAGAGCTATGTACCCAATGACACTCTTGTAATTGTTTGTGTTGATTAATAAAATACCATGTTATCGTTGCTTGTTAAAAAAAAAAAAAGTTTTTTGACTGATTGATGTTTTAACGACATTGGACAATATGGACATTGGTTCAAACTCTTTCAGTTATCTTTGCCGGTTACAATGATACAAGGCTAAAATATGTGCATAAGGGCTGCCTTTAATTACAAAAGCTTAAAATACGGGATAACTTGTCAAGGGATTACAACATTGCACTTTGGTTTGCATTATTATTACAATTTGCATCATTTCGTGCTTGGCTTACTCTTTGGGCTAGATCTTGGATCTGGTCCCTCGCACAGCTTTCCGGGGCTTTTGCTCTTTCTTGCCTGTCGAGCAAGGTATGCTGCAATACAAGTTTACCGTTAGTTTGAAAGGTGCCTTTGTAGGGCTTTTATTTAGGCCTTGAGCCACAATCAAAGCTAACATAGATCTGAGCGTGCCACTGTTATCTTTGTATAACAGATTGTTGTACAAGTGTAAATTAAGTTGAGTACTTGCACCACAAGTTACTTAGACTTCTTGTTTATTAATGGATTGTCATAGATTGGTTAAGTCTGTATAAGGTTCTTTTCTTGCCTTGTAAACAAGGACTTTTAGTCATGATATTGTATGTCCAAAATGGAGGGAGTTCAAGGCTCTTCCAACTATTTCCTTAATCAAAGTTTGCTTTAATGAAAACAGGTTCATTAACTTATCCAAATTTGATTACAAACGAGACTTTTGAGTGGAGAAATAGTCAAAAATAATTTAAAACATGATGGAAAATGCATTAAACAACATATCTACTATATGTAAGTACAAACAAAAGAGACTCAAGCAAATATAACCTTGTCAGGCAAGGTTCAACTTCTTGCAACCACTTCTCTTTGTGTTTTACAAAGGTTGTAGTCATTGGGGAATGAAAAGTAAATAGGTTTTACAAGAGTGAATCGATACTACAACACCAGGAGAAGGTAGAAAAGCTTCTAAACTTGACAAATAGGGCTTTCTATGAGGAATCTACAACTAAAGGGGAAATTTGGACAAAATGCAACTTTTTGGGTACGAACTTGTCTAAGAGCAAAGCTTGGATGTCTTTTGATTGATTGGTTGAGTGTCCTTGTCTTTGGTGTCCCTCTCTACTTTTATAAATAATTTGGCCTGACTGTCCAAGCTTTGCTTTTAGCTAATGGCTTTCGGAGGGCAGTGAGTCATCACTTATTTATTCATCCATACCCTTGAAAACTGCTTTTTGCTAATGGTGAGGTGCCCTTTGTTGCCCATCACTTCAAACATAGGCATGTGGCCTATGCCTTGCTGAAATGACTTCCAATCCCTCTCAGGCCTATCGACTTATCCGAGCCCAGTCTTTTCTTTGCCTTTGTATTTTTGGGCCTCCATCGTTACAAAGCCTGGTGTCAAATATAAGCCCAAACACCTACTTTATGAGCAGTGCTCATATACTGTACAGACCAGCACAACCCGTTGTACACTTCTAATTCCAAGAAAAAAATGTTGGAGCGAAATTAGGGCTATGAATAACTCGCATGAAGAATAGTTTTTCATCTGAGCAATAGAATTTTATGTTTTTGCCAACATATTGAGGTTGGCCGAGAAGAGCAGCCCCACTGTACATCAATTACTTAAATTGAAGTCACAACATAGATCGGATAATGGTGATTTTTTAATATGTTATAGAAGAGATGATAAGCAATACACTAAAATTTAGTTGTGATAAACAAATCATAATCTCAATAGACAAAACCAACACATTGGAAAGGCTAACAGTTGCCAAATTATACCTAAATAAAGAAATGATCATATTTTACTACTACTAACTTAACAGACAACAGAAACATAAACATGATACAAAACTAGCTATATTTTCAAATAACTGGACATCCTTTAACCACAATACCAGGTGCAGTAGGGCATGTTGCAAGAGGACAGTGGTCAAGTTCAGAGCCCCACCAGTCAATACTTTTGTGTCGATTCTCAAAGGCAAAAAAGATTAGGATACCCATGAAAGCTGTGCCAGCATCCAATGCTGCAGATAGAATATAATTGTACTTTTGCCACCAGCGTTTACGATATCTGAACACGAAATAGTTGAAGATGGTTCCAGTGACAAGCCAACTTGCTATATTAGTGGGAGTAGCTGGCGGCATCCCAGCACAACCATAAGTAATGACTGGGATATTTATCAATGAAATCCACTTCTTTTCTGGGAATCTTTTGGTCAATATCCAAATGGGAACTGGCAAAATAGCTCCAACAAGAAATAACCATAACAAGTTTCTGTACAATCCTCCAGGTCCAAATAGTCGCCTTGGTCCAATAAGGCCCCATAGAATAGAAACACTAAAGGTGAATTTGTGTTTCGGGCAAGTCCATGGGCTGTTAGGATTAAGCCCTTCAATGTCGCATATGTTCTTGATACCTTCCATCATCCACCATGCAACTGCAAGGTTGACAGTACCGGCAACCAGAGTTCCCACTAGCTGGAGAATTCGCATGCATTAGTTTAGTTTTACTACACTGGAAAAAGACCTTGTTTAACATAATAGATAAAATGTGAACTAACCTGAGCTATGAACATGGAGCGAGGTGGAATCTTCATGTAATGCCCAAGTTTAAGGTCAGCTAAGAAAGATAGAGCTTGGACGGTGGTGATTCGTCCATAGAATTTGAAAACTATGTTTGCAATGGGTTTTCCTGGTAGCATATACCCCATAATGAATTGAAATATGATGTCAAATCCAGGTTGCTGCACAGAAAAAAGCCATAAGAATTTTAAATATGATGTAAAATTAATTTAGACATGCAAACGTCACGATGCATGATATTGTTTTGTAAATAAATTGTTGTGCACCCTCTCACAAGTACCAAATGGAGATGAAAGAACCATCGAGAAGATAGAAAACTACATACTTGGTTGGTGGTTGCTAGAATGACACCAATTGGGAGGGTGATAATGAAAGACAAGGCAAAGCCAAATAGCATCCCCCACCAAGGCAGCTGCACAACGTCTTTCCATATAAAAGCCGTTAATAGGGACAATGGAACACTCACTATAAACAAAACGAGGAACCACCACTGAGGTACTTTTTTGTAACGTTTCATCAGTTTTTCATGGATATCCACTTTCACATTCTTCATCGCTGATCTGCTTCGTGCTAACACAGCACTAGGAAAAGAAAATCAATGGTCACTTTGTCAGCATGTAACTTACTCCTCGTTTTCAATTTGTAGGTTCAAATTTTAAGTGTCATTGCTATGTAAAATTGAAAGTATGTACCCGCCATGAAACAGTGCCACATGACTAAGGGTTGCTGTGAATCTTGCAAATCCTATTCCGAGGGATAAAGCGAAAAGAGGGCTAAGATAGAGCTTGCCATAACTGTTGTAGGCATCAATGTTAAGATCATACTGGGGTGTTAGTACCCGTTCAGTATCATATTTTTGTCCACTGGAGGTGAAGAGATCATTGGAAAATATGGGGAATTTTCTAGCATTGAATGTGTTAAACCTCCAATAACAAATAGGGACAATGACATAGATGAACAAGACAAATCCGATGCCAGTGTTGAGAATGGAAGACCAAGGTGCAACGAGGGGGCTGCCGTGATAAGCTGAAATCCCAGCCCAGTCAAAGGAGAAGGTGCCAACTCCGAGTCCATGGTAACCTGAGCCGATCTGTTGAGCCGTGACATTGTGCGGCCAAGCCCAACACACCCAAGAGAAGAATGTCAATATCCGGAACAGATAACCAGGGAGTGCGTAATAGGTGAAGCTCGCTGCCAAGGCTATGAGGAAAAACTTCATCCGTGTAAGGCCTTTGGATCCGTGGTCCTTTTCATGCAGTGCTCTGGAACACCAAACAAACAATTTTAGAAAATCATAAAATCCATAATTATAGTTAGCATATTATACGTTATGACGGAATTAATCACTCCATTTGGTTGGAAAATAAATGTACTTATTCGTAGAAGAACAAAAAAAATTAGATAAACAAAGTCTAGTGAGCAGTGAAATGTTATTTGTTGTCTTTTTGTTTGGAATTGTTTTGACTAATTTCATGAGTGTATTTTTTTAACCAAAAAATGTCAATGTATATATATCATTTTTTTTCAACGTCAACGTATATATCATAGAAAGTAAAATCAATTAAAATCTGAATTAAATGTAAAGATGCGTAATATGGGTTGGAATAAAATTTTCTATATATTACTTTTATGTATTTTCAAGAATCTCAACATGGGAAACCTTAAACTGAACTAAAAGCAAAATACCTGAACAGAGAAACCTGAGCGAGGTTGGAAGGCCACCACATCTCCATAGGGTCAACCAGGTACTTCCTAAGTATTCCGGCCCACCCATATCCCAATATCTGCAATTAAAATCGAGAAAATCCAGAAATTAAGATAGATGAAAACCCTTGTAATATTTACGCACGCACAAAAATACACACACAGAAGACAACCTTTATGGTTAATTCCATGAAGAGGGCGCAAAGAAAAGTCACGCTCTGCTTGTAATACAATTTCATAGCAGTAATGGCTCCGATAGGATAGGCGTCACCTCCACCGGGAGAAAACCCGCAGTTGGCGAAGATGGTGGCGATTACGTGCTCCTTCATGTTGAACGGCCCAGGATTCAGGGTGAACTTCCAATTCAGGAGGGGGAGGTTGTACTCCCGCGTCGGGAGAGTGGAAGCCATCAACTTTCCCAAGGGTAAAATGATGATTTGCATTAAGATGGGGGCAATGGTCAGCGGCTGCGTACGGAATGAGAAGAATGTGTTGAGAACGATCAATAGAGTGCATGTCGATATGCCGAGGAAAACCGCCCGGAATGTCATCACCGGTAGGGTTGGGTCGTCAGTTTCCGGCACCACCAACGCCACCTCTTCTATAGCGGTTGGGCAAACTTCTTCTTCTTGTTCCGACAAAGTCCCATGAGCAATTTTCTCGGGATCCATGACGACTAGGTTCTTCAAAAACAGACAGTGACAGAAGTGGTGGCGGCGGCCAGCTTTTAAACGCACAAAACTGTACAAATTTAGTGCGCATGTGGCAATTACTGCCGTCGAGCGGCTCTGCGCACAAATGCGAGTGCCTTGCTCGTGCTTATGGTCCCGACTGGCAAAATGTGGACGACTAATTTCAGGGTGCATTGCCAAGTAGGATTAATGCCATGGCCACGTTAATAAATAATGTAATTTCACAGGGTCATTACACGTTCAAAGTCCATATATAGCAGGATTAAAGTGCGTGAGCTGCACGATTAACACGCTTATTGCACAATTAGCACTAATGTTTTTTTATTTCTCAATGGCCACAACGCACCAGTAGTAACCTGTTTTAGGAAACTATTTACTGTAGTCTCATAGGAAATACGTATTTACTTTTTTTATTTATGGAATATACATATTTACTAAAACAATCTTTTCTTGCTTGTTTGGACTAGAGGGTAGGTCAATCCGAATTTGTCTATGTCCAACTTGAATTTAAATTCTAACAAGCGGGTTTTTTTATATAGTTATAATGCAGTCCAACCCAACCCAACTTTAACTCGGTCATATATTGGATTGGGTTGGATTGATCCGTTGTCTGTCCATGCCCAACCTGATTTATCAACCCACTATAACCTGATCATAACCCAAATGAACTAATGCACATATTATACCCAGGTCATACAACCAACAACCTTTATAATACTTGGTACAATTTCATTTATATGTATAGTTGATGCCCGTGTCATAGTCAGTTTTATAATAGGACAATACCTCTGCCATAGTCTAAATTTTATAAATAGAACAATTCCCTGGCCATGATCTAAAACTTTATAAAAGGACGATCCACTTTGACTTACTCTTTAGACACCACAAAGAGGTGAACATGTACAAATACACAAACACGGTACCATATGGTGTGAAGATCCTACGAAAACCCGAATACATTTAGCCGAAAACAAATCTTCCAAACCGGTTTGGGCAACCAAAATGTTACCCTTGATATTTCTTAGAGTCAAAAGATCCAGTTCCATCAGAACAAACATCAAATTTTAACAAGTTATATAGAAAGAGAAAAAAATAAAATACAAAAAAAATAAAATAAAATAAAGAAACAGAGCGAAGATTTACACATTGCTTAATCATCAATTACAAATAATAGATTACATAATATTACCAACAAAATATATGAAACTGCAAAACTATTATTCTTCGTTTCGAAATCCATTGTCTAACCAAAGCAATAAGTGATAGAACTCATACAGCCAACCTCACTTAGTACAATATGACTTGGTTGCTGTTGTAAGCTCAATCAGTTTGATGGGGTTTTATGATAAAAACACAAGCCAAATTTCAAACTTTGATTAAGCTCATTAAACACAGGTCTTATTATAATCCACCAGTCCGAACCACCAAGTTACAATATACAAAATGAACATAAACTGAATCAAAGTTTTGATATCGTAAGAAAACCAAGTGATCAAAAAAATGTAAATAAAAAAAAAACAATAGCGTTGCTCCTCTAGTCCGTACCTGGTAATAGAGAATAATCTGAAGGAAATGGTAGAAGAAAGAATATGAGAGAAACCTTGAATGCTTGAGCTTCTTATTCCAATTATATATATATATGTGTGTGTGTGTGTGTGTGTGTGTGTGTGTGTGTGAATATATATCTTGTGTGAGAGTCTTTGTTTTTCCGAGCAAAAGCGAGGAATTCAAGTGTGATGTGAACGGAAAGCTAAGTGGTTTCCAGGAAAGAGAGACTTCAATAGTATTTGTAGAAATTCTTGCAAAAAGATAAAAGCTACATTATTGGTCTGCTGAGCTGCAAAGCAGAGAGAGGAAAGAAAAAGCCAACGACTAGGACAAATCTTGTCCGTGTACATGTGATCCATTTATTATGAAAGCAACTATATCGAACGAGTTCATCGTCACCGTTGCAGTGGCATTCAACGAGTTCATCGTTATTGTCATTTCAGTGGTATACAATTCAAATAATAAACCAATAATATGTATGTTTTTTTATTCATATGACACCTTATAATTAGATCAAAAATAGTAAATTCCTTGCGTATAAGCTGTTATCCAAACATCTTATTATTAGATCAAAAATAGTAAATTCGTTAGGCATGAGTTGTTATCCAAAACAAGATACGCGTCTAACAAACTAGTAAAAAACTAGGGGCTTCACTCTTGTGCAGGATAAGAGCAAGTCCAGCGTGCTCTTTAGCCCGATGGACCGGTGATTCCAATCACCCAATTGCCCCAACAATTGGCTCCAGCCCATGTAAGCAATGGGGCTCGGGGGAGGCCCGGTGGATAGGCCAGGCTGGAATCCATCGCCCGAGAGCCTGAGGCCCAAGTGATGAATGACTGACGACAAAGTGATGTTAGCCACAATATAAAATTAATAAAAATGTAAATATTAATAAAAAAAAATGTAAAAAATTAATAAAAAAAGTAAAAAATTAATTAAAAATCCGAAAAAAAATTAAAAATTAAATAAATTTTTCTATAAATATGTTATCATTATCTTCCAACTTACACCATAATTTTATATTTTCTCAAATACTTTGGGTTGTAATTTCTTATTTAATGACACGTGCTATAATGATATCGATTAAAAATTATATCTGAAATTACAAATAAAATTATTTTTTATTATTTTATAAAATAAAAAATACTAATATTTTATTGCTTATTGCCATGGCTATTCAGTTTAGGGGTGGAGATGCAAAAGGCAGTTACTGTTCACTGGAGGCTATTCAATAGTGAGTTGCCTTAGGAGGACTTTATAACGCTGGAGTTGCTCTAATGTCGCGTCGGTATTGCCCATGATAGCGATATCATTTTTATTTTTTTATACTTTTTAAAAAATAAATAAAAATCTGACACTGGTTTTTTATGTTGGCAATAATGTAAAATTTATTCGAGCTACAGAAAGGCCACACTCATTTTAAATAGAGAAGATTTAATGTAATTAATTTGTCTCTAAAACTGTCATTTAGTTTTATTTTAGGGAACTATTATTAGCATATCAAAAATTTTATCCTACACTTCTCACAAGTGTATTGTTCTTTCTAATTATAAAAAATTGGAGTGGAGAGCGAGATTTTTGAAGTGCCAGTAACAATTCCCTTATTTTATCCTATAAAATTGATTTTTTCCCGCTTTGCCCTATGAAACTGTCGTATCTGTCATATTTGGTCTTAGTTCACTTAACTCTCGTCCATTTCATTGAATGAATAAACGTCAAGTTAAAGTGTAGTATCACAACTCTTTGCTTTCAAATTTTCTGTTAAAACAATCCCAATTCTATTTTCGATAACTAATGGGTTGTGTTTCAAAATCTAATTCAACACACTCATTGATCCAACGACTGCAAGTACAGCTACGCATCAATCCGCAAGAGACACAGATAGAGGTTTGGGTTACCAAAAATGGAATTGAGATTGTTTTAGTAGGTAAGTTGGAGACAAAAAATTGTGTCAAAATAAAATGGGGTGAATTGAGACTACATGAGACGAAAATGACAATTTTATTGTACAAAGTGAGACAACCATTTTAGATATAAGTGAGATTTTTTTTTTTTTTTTAATTTTTTATTATCAGATATATAAGTGAGATTAAATGACACTTCTAGGGCAAATCAATTAGCCATAGTGTAAATTATAAGTTTGCAATGAGAGAGATTCGAATCCTCTGCATGTTTTTTACGTACAAGACTATACACGAGTTGTCATATCGTTTAAAATAATCCAAAGGTTATAAATGTGCCACGTATTTAGTGTTTCAGTTTTATAACTTTTTTTTTCTCAGCTTTAATGATAGAGTAATTAGGAAGACCAAATTTTTTTAAACTAAATTGCAAACAAAATAATGTGTTACTAATAAGAAACGAGCACGTTAATCGACATTTAATTAATAATCCAATCATTTCCAACCACATCATTAAGTTTGCAAATTTGGTTTAAAAAATTTGGACTCTCTAACACTACTCTTAATGATAACCTTTCCCAGCCCAAGTCCCTTGGCTTCTCTGAGGTGTGACAAGATCGCGTATGGCTGTCGCCGCCTCCACCGACCCCTTCTTCCCTCCTCTGTCGTCAGTCATCACTCACACCACCATTCTCGTCGCTCCTCATCCTTCAAACCCACGTGATTGACCCAGCTTGGTAACAAATTAACAATACTGTGAACTTTCCGTCATGGTTGTGCGATTGATTTATCCATGGATGACTCTTAAATTTCTTCAATAACTATACATGAAGTAGGGATGGAGGAAAGATGAGGAAGGAGGGGTGGGAATCAAACTTGGAATATTAAATACGTTGCACATTGATAACCTTTCAATTCTTTTGGACAGTGTGGATTATAAGTCACTAGCCTTCAAGCACGTGCTCAAGAGCGTGCATAAGACATTTTTTGAATCACGGCATGCTATGCGCGACTTACACGTTTTAAATGTATTTTTATGCGTAAATTGACAAAAGAAAAGTCAAATATTCGAAGTAAATGAATAATCTTAGATTATGCTAGAATAAACCCCTCATAAACCAATTAAAGCAGCTGAATTCACATAATAAAATTGGTCTCTATTGAATTTACATTAAAAATAGAGAAAATAATATTTAATAAACAACTGATTGAATCACATTATTGTTAGCCTATTGTAAAGCTAAGCCCACCCTCTCCCCCTTAGTGTAGATAATATCGTTTGTTAAAAAAAAAAAAATCATTTGACAACTAATTTAATCACATTATTATGTGCATGTGAAAGACCTTTTTTTATAACCGGCATTACACGCCTCTTAAGATGTTTTGAACATGTTCAAAAATAGAGAAATTAATATTTAATGAACAACTGATTGAATTACATTGCTGCTAGCCTATTGTGAAGTCCTAATTATAATAAAAATAATAATAATAATAAAGTTGTACAAAAAAATTAATTATTAAAAAAACACTATTAAAACAACGAAAATACCACTGCCACATTTGATGCATTATTTTGGGCTGCTTTTGAAGTTTTTTGTTTGAGGAGCATTTATGTCCACTTATTTTTTGGTGAAGCTTGTGACCCCAAAAGGGGTTGTGTGGCTTTATATATAAAGATGTATAGTCTTCTAGGTAAAACATGCAGAGGGATCCAAATTCATTGAGTCAACTCATATATGTTGGGGACGAAATTCAAGTCTGTATTTCACGCAGCACGTCCTAGTTCAATTTCTGACTCTGGTGAATCGCACGATGATGCCTAGAGGAGGTTGAAATACCTTTGTAAAATTTTCAGCTCTCAAAATAGTAGACTGTCACAATAAAGTCACCAATAGATTTAAAAAAAAATGTATGTTGAATATTGTAGTGTTTGTTTTGATCCATTATAAAATCTTATTTATTTCTGTCAGTGGACAAAAATTCTCGCACAATGATCAAAATGATGTAGGCCTAATTTATTGAATCATATAAAGGATAGAGAGAGACCGAGGGTGCGGCAATAGTAGAGAGAAAGAGAGAGATGTGTAATTGTGAGGTGTGTTTATCTCACCTCATTGTGCCTTTATTTATAGTAGTATGAAAGGTTAATTCCTTACCCTAATAGGATTATAACTTTAATGGGATAATATCTAACCCTAGAGAATATTCCAAGATATCCTTGATACACTAGGATTTACACAATCACATTCCTAATCTAATAGGATTGCAACAATCCCCCTTGAGTGTGTAAATACTCAAACAAATGGCGCATCAGGTCTTCAGTGATGAAGTAAGTACAGTTGATGAAGTTGTCGACACAATGAGCAAATGCGAGTCTCAAAACAACGGGAATAATGCATAAAAGGTAAAACTCATAAAACCTCGTTATGGTAAAACACAAGGTGGGAGAAAAACCCATAGGCTAAGGAGAAAAGTGAGAAGTTGCATTAAGTCAAAACTATACATCTTTTGGATGCAAGTAGAAGAGCTCACAAGGGTATGATTAGCCCAAGATGGGTGCCTCGTCGAAACCTAGTTAGGTAGCAGAAACCCAGTGGGAAAAATGCTCCTAATTGTAAGGAAAAAAACTACATTAAGATCAAGTAAGTACACTTCTGGATACTCTCTCTAAGTTTGACAGAACTTCCAAATGAGAACTACAAGTATTGCATATGAATAGTTAGGCATACCAATTCCTCGAACAAGCTTTTGGAAGGTTGACTTCGGCAGTGACGTCGTGTAGAGATCGACAAGGTTATCTGGGATCCACTTGCATGACTTTAATCTCCTGATGCATTGCTAATGTAGATGTTGACACAATATGTCTTGGTGTTGACTTCGTTGATGTATCATGTCTTGGTCAGGTTGATACATGCGGCATAATCTTCATGGATCGTCATCGAGACTTGACAATGGATGAAAACACAGCAAGTACTTCGAATATACTCAACAAGAACTCTTAACTATGTCTCATGTGTGGCGTAGTGAAGTGAGGTGAGTGTTGGAATGATTCAAAGATTTCACAACTAAGGTCATATCGTGGACCTCCAAGATATTGCGATATCCCTAATGGTAAAGACATAACCATTCGGGGATTTTACCTTGTGCGGGTTTGATAAGTAACCAGTGTCAGCATAACAATAAAGTACGCATCATTTCAAGGATCATAAGGGTCGGATCTGCTCGAGATGCGGTAGGATTAGCCTAAATCCGTAGTACCTTCAGGAAACATCTTTAATACCAATTCAGTGGTTGCATGTAGGAGCGG